CCCTGAGAAGTGCCTGGTGGAAACCAGATAAGCAGGTCACTCCTCAAGCAGGCTGATAAAACTGCATACTGCCTCCAGTCTTTGGGCTACTCTCCCACTGTTCCAGACCTGCTGCCCCATGTCCAGCCTCCTCTATATTCATAGGAACTCATGGTTTGCTCCCACTCTGCGTGCAGTCATCAATGGCAAAACCCCCTACATTTCCCTATGGAATATGAGAGCTGGGATGATACAAGCATGCTTATAGTGTTGTGCAAAAGGACAGGCAAGGGGTAATGCTTTCCTGTACTTATTTCCATTACCTTTGAGTCATGAGCAAGTTCCCAAGCAGCAGCTGATCTCCCTTTAACCTGGAGGCTGCAGTCTATAAGCTGTGTGCTCATTTCCCATCAGAGATGTGATCTTTACATCTGCAGGGACAGTTGATGTTCAACACAGCAGAATGTATGAGGTTAAAAAAAGATATGGACAATATTTTCTAACCAGTGTTCAATTTTGCCCTCTTGTGTCAGCTTCTTGGTCACACTAAAGCTAATCAGAGCATAACCCTCAGCAGATCAGACCCACAGCTCTGGCAGAGCCTGAGAGCTTGTGTGCAAGTTAGCCCAGTTGAGAGTCCTGCATTTAGGAGCCAAAGCCACAAATTGTTTTCTAGCAGAAACTAGTTAAATGGGCATAAAACCATGGAAAGTTGCTGGATTCCTGACAGCAGAACAACACTGGAAAATCATGCAATGCTTCTTGCTTCTAGCTGCAGTGGGCAGAAATTGAAATATAGGAGATTCCATCTGAACATAGGAAGAACTATTTTACTGTGAGGCTGGCAGAGCACTGAAACAGAGAGGCTGTAGAGTCTCCTTCTCTGCAATGACTCAAAAGCCTTTTGGACACAATTCTGAGTAATGTGCTCTAGGGAGCCCTGCTTGAGCGTGGAGATTGAACCAGATGATCTCCAACCTTAGCCATTCTGTGATTCCTTCCAAACTTACCCATTCTATGATCATGTGCTTCATTATAACATTTAAGTTTTGAATTCCCCTATAAGAGATTAAAAAAGGTTACATTTGAAAGGCTGAAGAAAGTCCTCTTTTTAAGTATTGATTTTTTAGGGCTGAAATTAATATACATTTCTGCAATACCTAGGAAATTATTTGCATTTTCTCCCAAACACATTTCCCAGTAAGATAAAGGAAACTGAAACTGCATGAACTCTGAAATCTCACAGGTAAAGGACAACAGGATGACATAGGGTCAGTGTTTTGATACTCTTGTTTGCTTTCTGTGAAGAGTTTTAGAATAAAGAGCTGAAGGGATGGTGTTGAACAGGAAAAACTTCACAGATGAATACACCACCAGAAAGCAGGGTGAGGACATTTTTCTCCACTTTCCCCATGCTCAGGGACTGGTTTACTGATTAACCTGGAAAAGCTAACATCTGCAGTGCATCAGGGAGCATACTGGAGACTGAGGTATCCTACAGAGACAGAAAAAATAAAATTAAAAACCCCAGGAGGGTTTGCCTTCAACAGACTTTCTCTTCCTTCCTGCAGAGGAAAGATGTCCTGATTGAAACCCACCTGTGCTGTGGCCATGCTGCCCTCTGACTCCCACTCACATCTCCTATGGACACCTTGAGTTGCTTAGAGCTTTTTCTAATTGAAAGCCATGGCTGGAAATGCCGTTGCTTAAGTATTTAAAATGTCCTGGTGATTGTTTGTAGGGATGTACCATGACAACATTTTTCTCTGGTGATGGTGCCAGCTGAAGAGACCCTTGCTGTTTCTGGGGTGCTTCCTGAGCCAAGGCAAATGGAGAGAAAAATCTTTCCCTCCATGGAGACAGCTCCCTGCCTTCCTGCCTTGGGTCCCTCACAGCTCAGGTGAAGCAGTCCCCATGGCATCACAAGTACCAGCAGGCACTGGAAAAAATGAGACCAAATGATGCTCTCACCTTGCTGAGGCTCAGTGGCACTGGACATCAAGCCCTGAGTTGAAGCACTGAAGATGTTTCTCTTGAACAGAATGAGATAAAAACCTCAATTGTGGCATTCCACAAAAAAAATCTAGATTTCATCTATATGATAGAAGGCAGAATAGAAAAACCTCTATAATAATCTGCTTAATCTGTGGGATTTCTCCTCACAGCTGATAGCAGCCACCACCGCTGGCTGATGAGACCCCACAAGGCAACAGGCACACACTCACCACCTGGCAGGCTCTGATGGACTCTGAGGGGACAAGAGGCCACAGGTCCATCTGAAGGAACTGTCAGCATTGTCAACCCCTAAATACAGAGTAGAAATTATTTATTCCTACAACCCACAATATAAGGCTGTGGGCTGTAGGAAGGTGGCCGTCTGGGCAGCCAGTAATAACTCAGAGTCTATGAAGTGATAGGCAAAGAAGGAAAAAGAAGCAGAAGTGAAATAAATTTCTATCTCTGGCTCAGGTTCTGCACTTGAATAACTACACACAGTGTCTACACACAACAGACGTGAAATGCTGAGTTACAGAATAGTTGTTATGGGGCTCTGAGTAACATGGTTGAGTGGAAGCTGTTCCTGCCCATGGCAGGGGGTTGGAACCAGCCAGCCTGGTCCTTCCAAGGACCTTCCAACCCTTCAGCAAGGTCCTTCCAACCCAAACTATTCTATGATTCTATTTCATCTGAGCTCTCAGTGACTGTTCTCATACAGATGTTTTCGCCTACTCTGATAATACAAAGTCAAACCAAGATCAGTACTGTAGATAATAATCTCAACTAACCCTGCAAATTGTTTTTGTCCATAAACAACAATATTGTAAATAAGTAAAAACCTATGAGAAGTCCTGAGGGAAATAAAAATGTATTACACTGAGGCAATTACATACACTTTCTATTAAGCAGACAAAGCCCACATGTTGTGGCTTCCTACACTCATTGCTCCAGCAGACACAAAAATATTACAATATTAGTTTGCAGGAAATACTTCAGGTAACTAAGTACATATTTCATCAGATTTTACTGCACCATTAAACACACTCATGTCCTGTAACACACCCTGCCTATACAGGGAGGGCTGTGGGAGCATGGCCTGGGTATTACTGATTTCAGAGATGGAGCTCCTCAGGCAGTATCAGCCAAGCTATATCAGCTATGCTGATGGCAAGGAGAAATCCAACTCCACTGCTCTTCCCCATGGCCATGTGTGCTCCCTTCCACACTTAGGCCAACAGCTAGCATACAATCAGCCTGATCAGGGTCCTCTCTGGAAAATAATCCCAATTAAATCAAAAGACAAAGAAACGTAATTCCAACACAAAGCAGTATTATACTACACAGTCACATGGACACAGCCACTTAAAGTTTTTCCAGGGAGCTGAGTGTTTACAGACATCACTGAAGGCCTAGACCAGTGCCATGGATTTCCCTAAAGAATGTATCAGATCTGCTGCTCCTGGGTTGATGTGTCTGATGCCCATGTGGCATTAGGCATCCACAACTGGCAGCTGTGCCAAGCCCCTCATGTCTAGGAGCTCTTGAAAGGGGATCTCACTCTTTCACCTCCTCATGGGGTTGAAGGGGCTGAAAAATACTCTCCCAAAGGTGATTCACCTCAGCTGTCTTGGGCTGTTCCCAGGCAGATCAGAGCCAGTGTAGTTATAGTCTCTTGTAGAGGGAGAAAACAAAGAGCTCATTTTCAAACCAACAGAACAAAATGACCTCAAGAAAAGGGGAAGGGAAAGCCCCTGTGCAAAGACCTGAAAATGGGACGGTCCACTGAATCACAGGATAGCCACGAATGGGAGGAGGGAATTGTTTCTGAGGCTTCCAGAAACATAAAATGTGAAAAAGGGGGTGGACAGAAGAATGGAACTGTTGGAAAAATTAGGGTTGGCATCAACACATGACCCATAGCTACCCATTACTGCTCCAAAGCTACAACTAAAGTAAATAAAAGAACAGAGTATCAGTCTCACCCACAGACACCCAAGCAGCTCTACAATACTATTAAGGTCTACCCAGAAAACGACCACGTTTAAAAAACAGCCAGAGTCATGCAACAACCCCAAGGAGTACAGGAGCAGGACTGGGAGGTTTTCCAAGCAAACAGAAACCCCCTATTTTGACCTGCAGGTGGGTATCCCCATGCCAAGGGAATTCCCTGTTGCTGCCAACTTCTTGGCAGCTGGGCAAGCTCACAGCCTTGGGACCCCAATTCACAAACCCACAGTAAAACCATTGGCTCCACATTCTTATCTCCCAGTAAGAGACCTCAGCTCTGGTCCTGGGAAGCACTGCCACCAGCCAGCCATCAGCCAGGAGTCCTGCTGCTCCAGGGACCTGTGCACAGGAATTCTCAGTTTTCCTTCACTCTGAGAACATGGGGCTGAAAAATGCACCCTGCCAAATGGACATCCACCCAGCAGCAAATGCAGAATCCAGAGGGGACAGTTTTGGGACCTTCTTCAGGCTATCACCTGCTACTGGGCTGTTCCTAGAAAAAGACACCAGCTAGTTCCAAGCCGTTTATGTACAATTTATATCAATACTTTCCATCATGACAAAGTGGTTTGCCTCTTATGCAGAGAAAGTCAAGAATGCTGGGTATCTTTCCATGCCTTCTAAACAAAAAGCAGAGAAAAGGTAAAGGGTTTAATCAACCTCCAATTAATTTTTATTGGTAGCAGATGCTTCAAATTGCTAGCTCTTAGGGGCTGCTTCAGTCTCTCTTTTGCAGTTGCCTAAATCCATTGTCAGCAGTGACAGAAACACAGATGACAAAAACCAGGGCTGTTCTAGCAGAGAACAGAACAGCTCTGCCCAGTTCCTGCTCAGCAAGGACTGCTCGGAGAGGGAGCCAGGGTGGGATTCAGGCTGAACTGTGGGGTGAGGAGGGAGCAGAGCCAGCAGCCAGCAGGTGCTGGAGTGAGGCCCTTCAGAGGACCCAGAAGAGAGGCTGAATCCAGTGCCCCTCTGCCCAGGCCCTGCTGCTGCTGGCGCTGCACGCTGGCACTTACCTTGTGTGTGCTGTACCAGGGCCCGGACAGGGGCCCGCTCCCGGATCCTGCTCCCCCAAAGGATGCATTCCAAGGTGCCTGGGAGGATGTCCATGGCCCTGCCCTCAGGCCCCAGCCACTGGCCATGCCGTGCAATGTCACACCAGTGGGGAGGGGTGGCTCTGAGGAGAGGTGACCAGGACGTGGCACTCTCTTCCTGAGGTGGGCAAGGCTCCTCACATCCTCTGCACACAGGTGTGCGCAGCCAGGGCTGCAATCGCTGGTGTGCACCAGGACACCCTTAGCTGGAGAGTAGTTGGAGCACAGGAGAGGAAGGGGAGCTTGACAGAAGGTTTTGCTGCTCCTTCCCAGGGCATTCAGGTGCCTTTTTTTTGGTCTCTGACTTCCCCAATGCCCCACCCTCCTCTGAAGAGGCAGCCTGGGAATTTAACTCCTTCAAATCACTGCCTAAACCTAATGGTTAAGTATTAATTCCTCACTGCTAGATTGCAAAACTTAGAAGTTGTTGTTCCCAAAGGCAGATAATCACATAAATTCTTACTTATGTCCTTTATTTTTCTCTTCTAATTATTTCCTGAATAGTTTCTTTTGAGAGACTTCAGGCAACGTGTTCATTCCCGGTCTGTGGCTTTATTCATTCATTCTTTTAGTTTTGATTTGATAATTTGTTTCTTCTGGGGAAAACAATGATTAAACAAGCTCATTAAAGGGAGTGTAAAGCAGGCAAGGTACGAGCTTGGCAGAATTACATAGGAGACAGAAGTAGGCCTCTCCAGAGAAGCATAGAAAGAAATATTAAGACACCACATCTTCAGGCTATTGACAATACAACTGCATGCAATCCAGAGAGCTCACACTGTACCTTGGAGGAACCAACTTGCATTAATTCATTCCTTTGCCTAGCTGGGTTTGAAACCCAAAGTCCTGACAGTTATTGCAGCAGACAAGGGTCACTGGGCAATTATTCTGCTCCCTGCTACATTGGTTTTCTCCTACTCTTAAGAAGAACTGGCATTGATTTCTTAGTCCCAGTAGTGCTACCATCAGCAAGATGCACTGAGAGAGGACGAGTCAGCATGCAGGATAGCGGGCTGGGAGCTGAGCTTCCAGCAAGGCAAGGAGAAATGATCTCTAATAGAAATGAGCAGCAGCAAAGCTGACTGCTAGTATGATTAATTTGGTCAAAAATAGAAGAAACACACAATTACAGGAAAGAAACTGTAGCTAAATTAATACTTTCCAACTTGAACGCATAATATTCTTAGCCACAAGGATTTATATGAATCCAGACAGAAGGGGATTTAGAAAAGCCAGAGGTGGCAAGGTAATTCTTCAGTTAGATGATGGTATAACACTCCAAAATACAAAATCTTGTCTTATAACAATAAATGTTTTGTTCATGCATGTGGCCTAACTTGAAATACCAGTTTCTGTGATCTCAGCTCCTGTGAGTCCTTTGTAAATATTGGAATTAGCTGCAGCCATGTATATATAGGTATGATGGAAAAAAACAGCTCCACTATTTCATGGCTGTGTAACTTGCTACAGATTATTTTTACAGTGTTGTGTAATTATTCTCTGCAGTCTAAGATGACATTATAGAAAAAAATTCTAGGCAATCTTGGTTATGGCTGCAAAATAACCAGTGCAGTGAAACTGGAGTGTAAACTGCTGCAATGATATTTGCCCTGTCTAGAGAGAGTTGAAACAATAGCCCAGAGGGAAGTGTGAAAGGACCCATTCTTCTAACTGCAGTGCTAAACTAGAAGTCTGCTGACAATTTAAGTGTCAACATCAGCTACTTCAAGGCAAATCATTTGAGCAGAAACACCAGGCTAATGCTCTTATTTGTCATGCTCAATTTGCACTTGCTGTATAGCAGATCCTGGGATGAAGAGGAAAAGCAGCAACGATTGTCAAAGGTTGCTGAGCTGAGGAAAGTTCTCCCATTCCTCACCCTTCCTCACACATTCACCTCTGCCCCAGCTCAAAATAGGGAGCAAAGAAGTTGATGCTCCCCCAGGCTGGAGAAATTGTCTTCGGTAGCCAAAAGCCACAGTGGTCCCTATCAGCCTGCCAATGACTTTTTCAGTATGGTTCTCTGGTGCCAAAAATGCCCAGATTGGTAGGAGATTGAAAAGGAGTGTAAGGGGAGTGGGAGGAGAGGAGCAGCCCTAAATATCTCCTGGGGACAGTTGCTGTTGTTTTGCTTCATTCTTGTTGGTTCACTGCCTAAAATACAAATATGACTGTGGTTTTCTCTTGCATAAGAAAGCTATTGGAACAGGTTTTCTGTAATGCTGTCTACATGGAGCCCTTGTTGAATTGCTTTTAAAGTTGATCTAACAGTGACAGATCATTGTTCCACAGTTGGTTCCAGACATACCAACTCACTCTAAACATGCCAGGAGCATCCTTTATTTATTGAAGATCTCTGATTGTTTTGCATAGAAAACCATTATTCAGTTATTCTGATTAATTTAACTTTACATCTTAAACCAGCCCTATTAAAATTTTAAAGAATATTTTAAAAACTATTTCTGCTCAGTTACTACCCTCCATTAGGAAAAACAACTAACTGTGTGCCAAAGTCCCTATATTTGTGCATTTCTATTTTCAGGCTTAAAGTGATGCTGAGGTGTTTGGCATAAAGGTATTAAGTCCTTAGGACTGGATCCTGAAATATCCTGAGGAAATGTCCCATGAAGTGGAAGCAAAAGATGGGATCTGCAAGATTTTTTAACAGAGAACATTACTCCCAGTTTTCAGTGGCACACAGCTGTGCCAAAAGTTTGTTCCCAAAGTCAAGTTCCATTTGAGGGTCCTTCAAATCAGGGATGTCTTCTGCTGGCTGGGCCAGCAGGATAGACTACAGCCACTTCAAAAACATGGAAATATAAGGCATTTTCAGTGGGTACAACATTAGTAAGGTCACTTCACTGGGGATATGTGCAGAACGCACCATGTACAAATGTCTGTCTGTGTATCTTTGGTTGTTGTATTTGTTGTACTGTGGGGTAGCTCAAAAAAATACCTCAAGAAAAGTATCTTCAGAAAGGTGACCTGACTTGGTGTTGCTGGATCTGTCTGTTTTTACACATGGGCAAAGGCAACAGATGAGCAGATTTGTGTCTCTGTGGTGGCTGACCACATCAGTATCAGGACAGGACTGTTTCTCCCTGTGAGCAGCACCTCACTCCCTTGGAGTAGCACACAGCACAAGGCAGCACCTGTGAAGATGGAGTAGACACTTCTTGAGTTGATTTGCTGAGAAATTTCAAGGCTGGTTAAAGAGAGTAAGCTGCAGGTGTCAGTGTTTGACTCCTCTCATTCTATTGCCCGACATTTTTGGGTAGAAGAGAAAGGACTTCACAGCCTGGGAGATTACATCCACCCTCTCTTGTGCATCCCATCAAGTTTTTAACATCTTGGGATATTTCTGAGCATTGGAGATGCAAGAGATTGTTTTGGGTGTTAATTGCATGGATTCCCTCACTTGCATGCTGCATTTCTATCTGATATTCTTGGGCCAAGCATCAGTTGCTGTTAATAACAGATAATGTTCCTCTGTTTGGTCATGAGGATTTGGAGACTGTAATCGATGCTTTGTCAGCTTCAGGTTCATATGCTGTGGGACATTGCCTGATCTGTGTGTGTCCCTGAACTCTGGCTTGCATGACATTGGGACCTCATAAGCCAACAGAGCAGGCAGGTTCCCACCCCTGGTTGCTTTAGCCTCTAGAAGTCATCCATGAAGAACTTGACCTGGTGCCCCTGCATTTGGGATATTCAATGCACTTGGGTGTCTGAAGAGGAAAGAAGAGAGCTTTTCATGTGTGTTTGCCCATGCCCCATCACTTCTCTGAGCTTACACTTTGCCATTTTAGATGAGCCACACTCTCAGCTGGGAAGAGGAATCCCTGTCCTTGACTACTCGGCTCTGGCCACAGTTACTGACATTTCCTGGGACAGAAAATTAAAGAGTCAGTGATTTCCTTTTCTGCCAAATGGTTTCCTTCTCCCTTTGTCCAGGGTACTTAGGTGTTCCTGTGAGGATAGAGCCTGGGTGATGGGAAGTTCAGTGTTGGGACAGATGGTTCCAACAGGGTGGTGCAGGAGAGAATTTAAGACCTTGCTTTTACCCAGCTGCTAGTGCCAGATGAGTGCCAAAAGTGCTGAGCTTGAGCAGGATGATCAGACGTGTTTCTGAGCTAAATGTCTACAAGCAGGCTCTTGCTGGTCACTCACTATGTGTAAGGCTGTACCTGTGGGCCGGAGATCTGCCTGGAGCAGGTTGCAGGCAGGGAATACTGTGTAATGGATAGTGCAGGACAATTTGTGGAAGATGTGTACCAACAGTCAGTTGATTTTTATAAGCAGCTTTCATCTCCCTTCCCCCAGCAGCTTTACAAGACCATGGTGCAAGTGTGTACTACTTCATATGCTAGCAATTACAGTCCTTTGGAAAGTTGCTTTCCATCTTGAAGTCTACAAATGCACAAAAAAATAGAAGTTCTGGTATCAAGATGTACGTTACAGACCTTGGAGAAGGTTTTTGTCCTTCCTTTCTGCATGGTGGATCAGTGAGAGATTTGTAGACTTTGGATGTTTTCATTTTTGCCTTTTAGACCTTACCAATTTAGGCTTAATCCTGATGCTTTTAAAATCAATGTCAAAGTTCCCACTGACTTCAAAAGAGACAGCCTCAGCTTTCAAATACTTTAAAGAATAATTTTAAGCAAACAAACCCAAAATGGATAAGAACTACATTTTCTCTCTCTATTAGGCATGCAACTTATTTTCTCCAAATGTAAATGTTACCTGGAGAGCTAAGCAGTGATGTGGTTTCTATTATTTCTTTAGGAGGCTACAGTACCCAAAGTCTATTCCATACATACTTCTTCATTTAGGAGCCAAACATAGCTATGTAAAGTGAGCAGCTTGTTTACAGTAGGCCCTTATGTCTTGCTATCAAATTAGTGGCAAATCAAGACTGTAGTAAACAGAGGTCAAAGATCAAACACACAATTTCACATAAAATTCCAGACCATGTACACAAAATTTAAAATGCAAAATCTTCAAATCATAAGACCATCAACTGCTCTTAAAACTAATCAAAAGCAGGATAAGGACTGAAGGAAATGAAATTTAAACATGATTTTAATCCAACTTTTAATGGAACAGCTACATCATGGGTATCTTTTAACTATGACAGCTGATTCCAGGCTACTTATTGCATACCCTGACACAAGGTTTTGCTACATCTCTCTGGCTATTCATACACGCTGTTTTGTTTCTTTCTTTCCAATTTGAAATAAAATAAATTTCAGAAGCGTTACCACCTAAGATTTTACAG